AAGCTGCGAACACATATTACACACGATTGAGAGGAATTTCGAAACTATTGTAGATAATTTGAGGCAGTTATATTATCGATCATTTTATAGTAGAGATGTCGGAAGACATTATCGATTTTTTTCGCAATTTTCTGATTCATTAAAAGTAAAATCAATCTAAAAAGAGTTTTATCATTTATCTTAATTTTAATCAACTCTCATTTAATATATTTTAATTCATACTTATAATTCATATATATATAATTTCATTAATCAGTAAAGATCCATTTCTTCTAGACTCATACAATTTTCTAGCTAGATTTTCATCCAAGAATCAATATGACAAGAGAAATAGATTTATAAAATTTATACACATGCGTGCAGTTTTTTTAAAATTCGTATAATTTTTAGCAGTTCATGTACGCAATGTCTCTCTTAACTATTGAAAAGTGTTTGTAGATCAGAAAGGAGCGAGAGTACCTTTCTCGTTCGTAAAACTTAATTTTAGTGAGGATGGATTTATGGAGGGAAATATAATTTCGCTGATAGTGCACAACGTGAGAAAGAGAGAGTTGCGCTAATAGTGTATCGTCTACATCTGCTTTATCGTATTTTGCAATTGCCACACTAATAGACCGTATTATAATCACCGGGACGAACGCGTAATTTGAGATTGCGAGTTATCGTCAATCTTGTGAGGGATATTATTTATTATCGTACTTATCTCATGATTCTACGCCGATGCTACGTACATCCTCTACATGTTTTTACGTAGAGTTATGTAGTTACCTTTATGATTATATATGCCATTCATTCTTCAGATTATTTATAAAAATTAAAAAAAGATTTGTTTACTTATATAAATTATCCGATAATATATAAATTATCCAATAAAATAATGATTTTATGTAACTTTTCTAATATATTTGATACATTAAATTATATTAATATTTATTTAATTTATTTCTAATTTTATAATACATGTAATATTTCCAAAAAAATTAATTTTATTTTGATCAAAATATTTTCGTATAATTTAAAGATTTTTAACGATATTAAATTTAATCGAAAACAAAAAACTATATAAAAGATAAATAATAAATAAATTGAAATTAATCACTCATCATAGAATTTATTCTCGTTTTCGGAATTCTTTATTCGAAGCGTTGTTTGAAAACAACGTCGTTTATTAGCGGACATTAACCTAACGAAAGAACGGTGCTCCCTGCGAAAAGCTCGTTCTATCGTTATAAACGGCACACGCCTCGTAAGCTCCGATCCATAAGGCTCGGAAGTGGGGAACTTTCGCGAGCGTAAAAACCCACAGAAACTTCGAACTTTCGCGGCGCGATGCGAGGCGAGGTGCGCCTTTCTATCTCTACCCTTAAGCGACAGAAGGGCGGGAGAAGGGCGGGGGCAGAAGAGGCTCTGATTGACGACGGCGGACTTTTAATTACTCCGCCGCAAGTTTTAGGGCACGTGGAAGCGAAAGATAAGCTATGAAACGAAATGAAACGGGCGAAAACGGCGCTCCGGCGCGTAAGTTATGCCGCAAATTATGCAATTAAAAGTCCCGCGGACAGATGTGGGTCCCGCTTTTCGCGCGCGCCTGTCTTCCGTACTAACGACTTCCGTTGCGTGGCTACGATCGTGGCGGATGCGTGTTGCCGACAGAAACTCTTTCGGACAAATTTGCAACAAACGTCAGAATAAGTTAGATGCATCAAAACAATAAAGTGCATTCGCGTAATAAAAAAAAAATAATTAAAAGAGATACCAAAATTTGTCATCTTTCCTCAAATATATCATTCTTTTTTAACTTTTCATTAGATATAATAATTCCTTCCTATTTCGATTAATTTATTTATTATTAATTAATTTATATTTGTCTCTTCTTTTTTGAATTTATATCAACGCGAATTTCCATCACAACATTTTGCTACAGATGTAAAACGAATGTTTACCTAAATCAGTACGTGTACTTGCTAATTTAGACTAATCATGCAATCTCACGCATTCGATGTACCGCGCGTCTGATGTGAAAATTAATCTGTCGGAAACGGGGCAAGATTATTACATATTATATGGAGGAGGGTGAAAGTCTCATGGAAAATCGCGTTTCGTGCAAAATGATTATAGAAGTGTTGAAACGGGGAGCTTAACGTTCAACCACTTCCGCATGCAACAGCATGTTATGGCAATTTCTCGAATCGACTGTAAAATATGAATCTCGATACGGTGTACGGCTCGCGCCATAATCTCGCATAATTTATACCAAGGCGCGACGTTACGCGAGAGAATTATGAGGAGTATACCGCGGCGAGAGAGCGGCGGGAATTAAATTGTATACCATTCGCATATGAGATTGCTGCGAACCACTATTGATTCGCGTAGCAATACCCGAGGAACAATGGCTTACGGTCCGCCACATCCGAGAGTAAAAGTTATTCCTTGTCTCTCTGGACGTTGTTTATCCGATTACGACATTGCTATACATCGGACGAGACAGCTACCGAAACTAATTATATCGGTAGCCTTGATATACTTATTGTTAGTCGGTCAAGCTAGTTGAATGTACCATGAGAATTTAATTTATCATTTTAAAGGATATATATATAAAGAGAGAGAGAGAGAGAAAATATATATAAAATATAAAAATTATTTAGAATATATGTATTTAGAATAGAATATATATTTATAATTCAATTATATAAATTAAATTCTAAATTAAAATATTTATAATATTTAAATAAGATATATTTTCATTTAATTATATATTTGATATATTTTGATTAATGGTTTTTAGTTTATTCTAACAAATATCTTTAAATAAAAATCCATCTACTCATTTGTTTTATTAACTATAAAAGAAAATTTGCAAATGTATTAATAAAAATAATAGCCATGCGGAAATGATCTTCCTCGAAGCAGCAGATAATATTCTAAAATTTTTGATCAATTGAAATATTGTAATACAAAAATTTTTGTGATTTTTTTCCGACGATTGCAAATATAAAACTAAAATGTTTTTAAAGGCAAATGTAAAATATTTATCGACGACTAAGAAATAATAATAATAGTGAATACGTTGTAATAAAATCATCAATTATGTAACAGATGAAGGGGAATCAAAATGGCAATATTGCTACAATAATCAATCTTAAAGGAAAGAATTGTTTATGAGCATTCAATATTTAAAATTGCATATGCATGCTGGATTGAAAATTTATTCGAAATCGAAATTTCCATCTACTACGGATATAATTGAACGTCTTCCTCAGCGATTACGGACAAGGTGAATAAAAGGTTCGGCGAAACGAGGCGAATAAAAGGTCTGGTCGATCGATAGGTAAATAGGTTAATCATCGTCGCTATCATTCGTCCTCCGAGCATGCAGTCTCTAGCCGGCAGTTGCATGTTGACGATTGCACAAACGGCCTATTCAGGTTGTCGGCTCAACGGAAATCGCACGGTCGATAGACCCTAAACGTCGACCCCGACCCATTACGGAACGACAGTGGCACGAACACACATGCGTGTATATTTTTCGCGCTCACGCGCCACGCGAGAGATTCGCTTGGCCTTTGTAAGAGCCGCAGCTAATGACACAGCTGGTATGCCATACGATTAAGATGGATGAGGATCTTCCTCGTAAAGAGAAATCAAGAGTCAATGAGATGGACTTAAATGCCCGATCGTCAAATGATAAAAGCATCCTCGCCCATTCGTTCCACGACAATGAACTATTCGACATTCGACATATGCTTGGGATAAATTTAGTGTATTGTAATAAAATCCATTAGCAATTAGTCATTGTCCATTGTTAACATTATTTTAAGCTGCTATCGTGAAAAATATATAATATATAATAAAAATATAAAATAAAAAACATAATAAATAAATATATAATAGAAAAATATAATAATAAAAACATAAACAATATAAAATTTAGATTTTATTATATTTAAAATTAATTATATTCAAATTACTATTTTATTATATTATATTTAAATTCTTTCACATTTTTTTCTAAGATTTTTACGACTTTATTTTTTTAATTTGAGCAATAAATTAATTAAAAATAATTACAATATAAGATTATATACATATGTATATTAAACGCAATTATAAAGATTAATTAAAAATATTAAAATTAATATTTTAATCTATATAATATTTTATTGATACTACGATTGATAAATTTTTTCATCACGTTATAAATAGTTTAACAGTTTAAATCTGCCTGTGATAATTTATGTATGGATTAAACTTATAACCCCCGTAGGGGCCTTCAAAAATTGCCGTAGCCGATGATATTTCACATCGTCATGGCGGGGTATTGGTAAAAGTTTTCAACTAGCAATAATCGCACCTCGGTAAAACCTCATTGGTTACGATATCGCCTCTGCGCAAAGCTGACGAGAAGCGTTCAAGTCAGGCAACATATAGTAACTCTGTTGGATTTCGATTACGAGAAATGTCTGCCTGCTCTTGCCATCTAACGAAGCGCATTGGAAGCTTACTCGGAGTATATATACTCTACTCATTCTATTTTCATTACACGTTCGCCAGTTTTCTCATAATTATAATCAATAACTGAGTCATTTCATTAAACAATACAGTCATTTTTAATAATGGAAAATTGATTGTCTAGAATTAAAATTTTTTAAATTTATTCGGTCAGTTATTAATCGATCGGTGCATTACAATATATTTCTAAAGTACGAGAGAAGAATCAAATTTTATTGAATTGGAAAATTGGATCTCATTTGGAATCATTGGACAGATGTCAAATTATATTTTTATTATTATTAACATTCGTGCTTTGTTCGTAACTAATCAATTTTAGTGAAAAATTTTAATTTTCCTTTCAACTGACACGTCTGGCTTTTATTAATCTCCGGGAGAAATTAAAATTTATATTATTTACAAATTACATATAATCTAAAAATCATCTATCAAAAAAAAAGAAATTTTCTCTCTCTCTTTCGATTACAAAGACTTAGAAGAAAGTAACTTACCGTTTCGGAGACGATACTCTTGACTTCCGCTAATAAAGCTGCAGCAGGTGATAGATAAGCCCGAACAAAGTTCTCCAAGTTACCATGATAAGCGCAAACCAGGATATCCCGTGCTTGTCTTATCAGTAGATCCATAACATTGTCGCCATAAATCGGTCCGAGCAAATTCCGGACCAGGGAAGCGAAGTCTCCACGATCCTATAAAATGAAAAAAAATAATGTACAATTAAAAAAAATCAATAATTAAATAATTTGAAATGATTAGAAAGCTTTAAAATATTTATGAATTAAAAAATAATATGTGGAAAACAACAATGTTTGGTAAAAATCACATAATAATAAATTTTGCTGGATAATGTATATGAGAAAAAAAAAAGAAACTCTTCGAAAAATGTGAAATTGGATCATGTAAAATATATCAAATATTTATGAAATTATTATATATTATTGCAGAATTCTAAATTTTTGTAACAATTTAAAGAATATTAATTAAAATCCTCGAGAAAGAACTTATTTCAGCCAAATAAGAAATATTAATTCGTCGAAATTATTTTTTATTTTATTAAAACTTGTAATTACAAATCAAACAATCCCATTTGATATCGAGTCGCATCGCGAAAATATTACACTATGCAGTAGCCGTACGATTTCGACACTTGTCCAAACACCGGAAGCAATAGAGACAAGAGACCAAACAGTTTCGCGAGTCCATTCGTATCGTTACGAAATCACGGCCATCGCTTTCAAAATCTGTTACTGGCAGTTATCTCCCTCGACGCCAGGATAAACAAGGGGAACGTGATTTGGATTCTGTGACAAAAGCTGGCAGAAATTCTGGCCGAGGGTGCTACAATACCCATGGGAGAGAAACATCAATATTCCTCCCAAACGTATCGCTTAAACTAAAGCTGGTTCTTCTTCAAGCGCATCTGTGCAAAATCGTATAAGCTATATACTATATACACATTGCATATACATTGCATGAAAATATAATATATTTTAGCTTATCATCATCAAAGAAGAATCGCCCGAAGAATGGTAGTAATCTCATTGAACTTTGTTTATTTAATACATAATGGATAGAAATGCACGCGTTCATATATTTAAAATTTCGACATATTTCTTTGATTACTCAAGTCTTTTCTTGATATACATAAAATCGATAAAATATCACAACTTGTACATTCATAAACAAGAATATGCTTAAGTGCATTTTAGCAAAATTCCATTTTCAACAAGCGATTCTTCGCATATTTCCAATAAAAGCGACGCAATCTTTTTTGCGAAACATCGATATTGCATTATTGGCACTGTCTTTCCCATTACTTTCCCACCAAGATTCGAATACCGAGGTGAACAAGTGTCGTCTTGCATTCGATGTGGGTGCATTATATCGAGCTGCATCACCGCATAAACATTGGGGTTTAGCGAGGACATACAAGAAAGTGGAGGAGGAGGGAGAGAGGAAAACAACGCGCCATGTAACCATTATATGTGCGCCCGATCGCCCACGTATTTCCGCCCTCATGGTGCGTGTGGACGAGCGACAATAACGCCAAGTGTTGAGAGCGTGCGAACTTGTATTTTCGGAGGAGCACATACCACTGCCGAGGGTTTCACGTGGGATCTAGGTGATTGAGAGCGAAACCGGATGTGACGAGTACGTACGAGATATGCAAAAAAGTATTACTGTACTATTATACAGTGCCCCAAATAGTTCGTTTAAATTCAAGTGAAATTTGCAATATAATATTATTTCAAGAAGCTTATTTTCCATGATAATTAATATTAAAAATTGAAAGATTGTCATACATTTTCTTTACACAAAAATGGAAATCCAGAGAAAATATTTATTTTAAAAAATTAACATAAAGCTGAATAATTTATAGAGAATATATTTGCTTATGTGAATATTTTCTCGGATATTCTAATATTAAACAATATAATAATAGTAAAATTTTTATATATTATACAAAAAAATACTACAGAAAATATTAGTTTATTAAATATTAGTTTGCCACATATGTAATAAATATTAATTTATAAAATTTATGAATATTAATATCAAATAAATTTGATTGTAAATTTGGTTTTGATTTTACCTAACGAAACTTCAAATTAAAGATTAAGTATAAGAAGTAAATAATAATTTAGCAGTGATATATAAATATACTTATAGTAATTTTACATGTGTGAATTCTAGAAAATATTCTATACCTACATTATATAAAAATTCATATATTTCATTTTCTCTGAGATGCCAATCTAACCGATTGCGGAATATTAATATTATTTTCTAAAAAGTACATGAATGGCATAAATCATCTATCGCATTACAATGCGTTAGTAAATACTGTCAATAATTTTTGTTCTATCACGTGTGTCATCCCACGGGATGTATCGGTCATAACAACAGATCAACCCGTGTCGGTTCATCAGTACCAATATTTGGTCACCCGAAATTTATGGCAAAAGGGTAACTCAGTATTGCATAAAGAGCTCATTAGGGGAGACGTACGTCTCCCGCAGGGAATTCGTCGGGATGGAAATACACACGCAGTCTGAGTCCACATATAAATTAACCGCGATTCACGTGCCGGCGGTTTTAATCGTCTCTACTTTATGGATACACGTTGTTTATTAATGTATTTACTCGTATAAGTGGGAGAGAACCCAGATTTAGTATCATTTATTCATGTACTCGGATGCAAATGCAAAATGCAAAAATCTATCTTAGGCAAAGAAGCTAACATATCCTTTTTCCAAAGAGAAAATATATAAAAAAGACTTTATGGTGAAAAGAATTTTATAAAATTTTATATTAACTATACGTATAAAATAGATTTTTTTTTTTTAGAATAAGCTTAGCGTAAAAGATAGATTAAGTAAATTATGTACGAAGAAACGGATGTCCATTTTAACTCAAAGAAGGGAGAGAAATAATAAAGATATCTATATCTATTAACTTATAAATCTGTATCTAAAATATCTTTTTATTTTAAAAATTGCTAATAATACAATTATATGTTATGATAGCATATCCTGAAATATTTGCTCGAGCAAAGAAAACTGCAAATAATTCTGCAATAATTAAAATAATCAGGCGCATTTTTTTAGTACGATTAGATATTTAGAATCCAATCCGTAAGTATGATTGTAGAAATTTAGTAATTTTTTCTGCTCACTGATTTTATCAAGGGATAAAATTCTATCGAAGATCCTGCTACCATTTTATTCGACATATTTTATAACGTTGAACTATTTTATTTGACATAATTTAATTAAGAAAAAAAAAAGAAAAATACATCATGAGAAATTTAATAATTTGTCAACTGTTCTTAATTTTTGCAATTCTCATTTATGATTCTCTTAATAAATTTTAAATTGTGCCAAAAAATTTAGCTCGTTTTAAGGCTTATCTCTTTGATTAATTGTATTCTTTTCAAGGAATCTCTTGATAAATGTACTCTTTTTACGGATCGATGACAAAGATATATCGATACCGGTTGCATTCGCGAATTCTGTATTGAGACATCTCGTACTCTCGCACCATATGTTTCAATCGAGGACTGATTGCTTTCGTTTTCTCGAGAATAAAAGACTGGAATTGTCGGTCGCAAGGACAGATATTAACCGCAAGTTTATTTCTTGCTTATGTCGCTTGAAGAGCTGGTTTATCTCGCAGCATCTGTGAAAACGTGCTGTATCATGGCATCGAATTGTTCACTGACGTCAATACTTATCGTTTCTCGTTCCAATTGATTGTTGCGTGCGATTGCTGTAAGAAACTCATGTAATCCGTCCTTTTGTTTTCCTCATCTTTTGCACATTCACGCCAAATTTTTTTACTGCAAGAACTGTTACTTTCAATTTTATTTTTTAAATCTACAATAAAAAAATGCCCTCGTAAAAATGCTCTCGTAAAAACACATATTAAAAATGTATATTTAATCATGATACAAATATAGACTTTGAGAATATATTACATGATTAAATTAGATTGAATCCAAAAAGAGATAAAATAATTTTATGTAGATAAAATTGTTTATATTACAATAAATCGTAAATCTTTCGAAACTGCACCGTCATAAATTTTAGAGAAACAGTGGGAATTTTCGTTCCAGATCAATTTGATTATTATACTATATTGTTGTGCAAATATAGCGTCATTCAATGTTACTTTATTACAGTAGTGCACACATTAAGTGGCAATTTAATATTAATAAAAAATTTAATTAAATCATAAAATCATCGACGATTGAAATAATTGTCGTTTTCGCAAATGATATGCGAGACAAACGTGTCACCGAAGACTCTTACTTCGGGAGCCCATCTACAGTCGATTCGCCATCTTCACCGCGGGATCCGACGCCCACGCAAATATTTATATCTCGTGTAACGTCCGTCCATCTCCTCTTGCCATCCTTTCGTCACGTTTTTTCTCATTCGTCCCTTGTATTTTATCGTCATTCCGTGGCGAAAACGTGGCGCGAGATCTGCTCGCTTTTCGCTCTGAAATATCTCTTTACATACGAGAACGACTGGGCTTGTAAAATCTATTTGCTCGGGCTAAACATCCTCCGCGTGTTGATCTACTTCATTCCCAATCTTCATGAATTCTACTTATCAATGTTCTCCATGGTTACGAGGGGGGCAATCTCTCGGCGAGCTATTTCACGTTTCACGTTGTATCACGTTTCTTCCTCGCTGTTGGCACACCTACGTTTATATCTAGGAACAAACGTCGTCCAGTGTCGTAAAACAAGAGGAAGATATCCAGGTCTGAATTGGATATCTCTGGCAATGCTATATTTGAAGTCGGTCTTTACAATAGCATCTTTTTTTGTGTCTATCCATTTGCTCTGAAGATAATTCTTCTATTTTAAGCTATTTTCTTTGTTTTTTCCGAATTCATCACGCAAAAAATGTAACATTATAAGTCTTATATATTTTAAGTATTTTACATGTTAATATATTTTTATAATGTATATTTATTTAAATATTTTTATATATTCTAATCTTTGTATTATAATATACAAAAAAATGTATAATTACATATTTCTATAATCATAAATTATTAATTTTCTGATGGCTGTTCCATTGAAAACATTTCTTTTATTTTCTTTGTCCTTCTCCTAAATTCATCACACAAAAAAGGAATAAAATTTTTGATAATTACTCCATAATTTTAATATTCT